TGTGATTTTCTCCCGAGAGAAAAAAAATCGCCTGCGAGCTCGTACAACAGCAAAAATCACACCGTGTACGCCCGCCTTAACTCTATATCACGAATCATACCAATACACATCGTCGCAGTTTTGTACCTTGACAAGCCTCAATATAATTATGTATTGTTATTGAGATCTGTTTGGTTACCAACAAAAATCTTCCAAAAATCTTCCTTTGTGTTCAGTAGAACAAAGACACTTATACAAGTTTGGAACAACTTGAGGGTGAGGAAATGATGACAGAATTTTCATGTTTGGGTCAACTATCCCTTTAAGGCAATTATTTTTCTAAGGTAGAACTTTTGCGGGTCGTTGGATTTAAAGTCTGTTACCGTCAGACTGAATAAAGCAACCTCTGCCAAAAGTGTTCTGCATGTGTTCAGTGATTAGAATATAAAGCTTACAAAACGTTTTTGATAAACTAGTGTTATAACCAAGAATCTGCCCTAACAAAATTTATGGTCGTTTGGACTCGGTTTGTGGCAAACATGCCTAGTGTGAGTACACCCTTAAACACTCTGGTTCTTCAGATCATGAATTGAAGTCAAGTTTTGTGCTGAAATGAGTGATGTTTTCACTTTAGGCGTCTGTGGTACCACTGAGGGGTCTCGTCATCTTCCTCTGCCTGCTTCATCTGTGTGTTCAAGGCATTCAGGGTGTGAACACTGTGTGTCTTGCTAAAATGACCCAGTATTTGTATGACAAGTAGGTACATTTGTGCATGAAGTCGATGAATGAATCAATATATTCAGTTTGAACTGTGCATGTAGTTTGAAAGACAAAATGCACTTGAAACAAGACAAATACAATGTTTTATGATAATTGCGATAACCTTATGCTGTTTTATGTCTTTCAGTGTCCAGCCAAAGACCGGACAAGGAGCTAATGCTCAGTATGCATTATCAATCTATGTCCCACCAGCTCATTGTACAGATAAACATGCTAATATCGAGAATGAGTTTGACAAGTTTCAAGCAACACAAGTGAAAAACCTTCTCAATAACGGTGCCAAATGTGAATTTTGCACAAAGCAAAAAAATGTCATTGCTTCACGGCCAGTTAAAATAGATGAGAAAACAACAGAACATTCTGAGCATGTTCTGCTCTATCCTGTAGGTAACTCTCTAATGGACAAACTTCTAGCAAAGGCAAGAGACCAAAGCTGTGTAGTGTTCTATTCATACAACTCACCTTGTGTGAAAACATGCCTTCAGAGTGCAGACAATATTCTGGAAGGCCTTAGAAATTGGATAAATAAAAGAAAAGGCCAAATGAACGCCTTTGTCTTCCAAGAGATCTGGCAGAAGGACAAGGACAAGGATCTCCAAACAGAATTTCAAAACATTGATGCGATAGTGCCTCTTTATCGGTGTATGAGAAACAGTAATGTGATGGAATGTCGGAAATGTGTGGAGAATAAAGTTGTGGATCCCTTCTGTCTGCCCACAAAGAAATAAGTACTTTTCCTTTTCCAGGAATCGCTTACATCAGTGATCAAACTGTGATGTGTTATTAGTGAATGATTTTCTCTACATAACTTTCATTGAGCTTTTATTCTTTTTGCCCAGCAAACACATTAGGCTATCTACTCAATCTGTGCCTGATAAACGCATGTAATCACGTATTCTTTGAGGCATTGCATAATGTGTAACGTATGCAGTTTTTGTAAACAATAAATTCTGCTCATGCATATCTAGTTGACTTGCTCTTGACTGCTTCACAAAATATTCTTTTGACCAAACAGTGGCGCATATTTTTAGAGATGTAACGTTATGAAAACTTCTTATCACGATTATAGTGACCGAAATAATCACGGTTATCAGTATCATCACGGTATTGTTCAAATGTGCTGGAAATGTTCAAAAAGTACTG